CGCAATCTGGGATTTCTGGCTCCTAACCACTCATCTGCCTACTTGCCTGATCGCCCTTAACCACTCTGCCTACTCCCTGATCACCCCTAACTCCTCTGCCTGCCTGACTGATCGCCCCTAACTGCCTTTGCCTCATCCCCGACTGCCTCACCTTCATCCAGAAGGACATCCAGAATGTCGTTCTGCTGTCCGGTCTAATTAGCATATTATGCTTTTATTATTATAGATAAGAAATATTACTTTATTCTAAGAAAACTCAAATGGGAGCAGACCACCTAGAGATGGAAATAATGACTGATGAGGCCTTGTGGCTCTCTTTTGGGAAAGTGACAGCATCTTCAATTATTTAAGGGGTATTTGTGTGACCTTGCTATTGTTTCTGGAAGTTTAATATAGGGTAAAGGGTGGGAATAAATGCTGAGTAGGCAAAGGGTAGGTTTTGTCTGTTGGCTCAGAGCTCCATCTCTGTGCTTCTGTGCTTTCCTATAGTTCAGGAGAAATCGAGTTTCCTAGATTCCCCCTTAGCTACCTTCTCACTGGAGCATGGACATAGTGGAGAAGCTCCACTCTCTGCTCCTCACTGGGCTCAGCAGGAGTGTGGGCAAGGGCGGGGGCAGAGGCAGAGGCAGGGGCAGGGGCAGGGGCAGAGGCAGGGGCAGGAGCAGGGGCAGGGGCAGAGGCAGGGGCAGAGACAGGGGCAGGGGCAGAGGCAGAGGCAGGGGCAGGGACAGGGGCAGGGGCAGGGGGGAGGGGCAGAGGCAGGGACAGGGGTAGGGGCATTGGCAGGGCAGTGCAATCTGAAGGCTGCTGTCTTCCTTGGCAGCACTGTCCCAATGGCAGCAGCAAGTTCTCAGCAGCCTCAGCAGGGCACAGTCTGGCTCCTTCATCCATGAGAGTGAGAATGGCTTCCTGTAGCCATTAATCTCCAACTTCACTTTTTTATTTTTATTTTTTTTTTCTATTCTAGCCTTTCCTTTCCAACCCTTTGGTAACCAATTCCCAATATTAAATTCAATCTGTTTGAATACCTAGTGGGGTCTCTATTTCTCCATGTAGGTAAACCCACAGCCTGGCCTATTCAAAGAATAATATGAACAGGGAGGATGAGGAGATTATTGATAGGCCAGAAAAAAGAAAAAAAAGAAGATATAATAGGTCGCCATGGACAACATGCTATGATTTATTTATTTTGCTTGTTTGTTAATCCTCCTTAGAGAATATTTTTTCCATTGATTTTGAGAGACAGAAAGAGGCAAAGAGAGAGAAAGAGTCACCAATGTGAGAGAGACACACTGATTGGTTGCCTCCTGCATCTGCCATGAACAGGACCAGGGATCGAACCTGCAACCCAGGTTTGTGCCCTTGAACTCGAGATCCTTCAGTGGGCAAGTGGACGCTCTAACCACTGACCTATGCTGGCCAGGGCCTTGCTATGATTTCTGATGTGAGCAGTTGCAGGTGATGATAAGGCTCAGAGTACCACCTTGGAAATAGTGCCTGAGATGGAGTGAAAGTGTAGTTTCCCTGTAATTGATGATTTTTTAACTGGGATGTGATGGTGCTACTTGGTTCACTCAAGTGGCTGTTAAAATAAGGAACAATCATGCCAGGATATGAGATAGGGAGAAGGATGAGGGCATGTCAGACTGTCTTCTAAAATATGGTAATATTTTTTATTAGAGAAATACAATATAAGGGCCAAGACAGGATAGCAGTAATGACATGAATTATTTCTTCCCTTCAAACTGCCAGACAAATGCGTAATGAGAATGTCAGAGGTTGCTCTGCCTCCTGCCTCAGGCTCAGAGCTGTCGGCAGCGAGTTAACACAACCATGCATATTTGGCTTTTCGAGCAGACTGGAATCCTACATTTGTCTCTAGTGTATATAAAATAAAAACAGTAACAGGTCATAGATTAATATTTGCTCTCGGCTGAAGTTATTGCAGGTCTTTCTAAAAACCCTGTGCTACCAACATAAAAGAGAAAGCAGTATCACAGGCCCGGTGTTTAACGGTTGGGTAAGCGCACTATAATTCGCGTGTACACACTTTCAGAGTGCCGTGAAATTATCATTAGAGAGTAATGGGATTAAGCCGGTTAAGAAGACCAGCAGAGGCTGTTTACACCTCACTCCGCCGTGCTGACAGAACAACTCCATTTCACACTGCGTTCATTCATCAGATTTGTTAACTTGTCCTTTGTTGAAATCCTGGCAGTGATGGCACAGCTAGCATTTCCCTTCCAGGAAACACAAAAGCAGCACCAACACATTGATTTGGTATCAAAAGAACAAAATGTGCACATCTGCGTTATGCTCTTAAGAAGCCAGCTCTAATTTGTCTTTTAGCCAGATTGGCCAGGGAAAGGGGGGTTTTACTGCTGTTGTCATATTGACACCCTCTGTAGCTTAGTTATGTCCACAAAACAGTCTCCACAGAGAGGATTCATTAGAACTGGTATTTTTAACCAGGAGTATCGTAGCTATTTCCCTTTAACCAATGCATTAGTGCAACTCCCATTAACACTGTCACATAGACTCCATCTCTACCTGCTAGAGAAAACCACTATATTTAGTCACAATCTCTCTGCACTGTTGCAAGTTTAATTGTCAGCTGATAACCGCAGCCCAAAGTCTACTACATTCAGCAAGTTATAGTTTTTTAGGTGGGTTAAAACGGGATAGTGGGGCACAAGTCTGAAGAATGTATATTTTATGATGAAAATGTTATCTCCCCAAAGATTTTAAAATTTACCTATATAGCTTACACATTGAAATAATGATTTGTAGGTATAAATACTAAGATTGATTTTTAAAGATTTTACCAAAATTGAGTAATATTTAATTATAAAGTATTCTCAGTTGTGTACTGTAATCTATTGTCCATTCTTTTTTTTTTTTTTTAAGATGTTTTTATTGAGCCAGCACCGGTTTGGCTCAGTGGATAGAGCATCGGCCTGCTGCCTGATAGGTCCTGGGTTCGATTCAGGTCAAGGGCATGTACCTTGGTTGCGGGCACATCCCCAGTAGGGGGTGTGCAAGAGGCAGCTGGTCGATGATTCTCTCTCATCGATGTTTCTAACTCTCTATCCCACTCTCTTCCTCTCTGTGAAAAATCAATAAAATATATTTTTTAAAAAAGAAAAAAAAGAAATCCTTTCTTAAAAAAAAAAAAAGATGTTTTTATTGAGTTTTAGAGAGAGAAACATCCATGTGAGAGCAGAACAGCTATGGGCTGCCTCCTGCACGGGCCCCTACTGGAGATGGAGCCTACAACCCAAGTATGTGCCCTGACTAGGATCAAATCATTAACTTTTCAGTGTACAGAACAATGCCCAATCAACTGAGCCACACCAGCCAGGGCCATTGAACATTCCTGTATTTCAATTTGTCTAGTTTTGCCTCTTGGATTGCTTTTTCATAAGTCCTCTCAAAACTCGTTACTCAGAGGATCCAGACAAATCTATGTGGGAGCTCCAGTCTCTAAGCTGTGAGGACAGAAAGAACAAAGGGCAATGGAACAGCAGCAGCATTGCTCGTTGCCAGTTGTTACCAAGGGTACAACTAAGCGAAGAGGGGGCAAATATAGAAAGGTTGAGGATTTTTTTTCCAAAATAAAAATAGCTTTATTGTTTTCAGAAAGTAAAAATGATACATGCTCATTATAAAAATTTCAAATATATAAAAGTCTAAAGAAAGTACAGCTCATCCAAATACCACAGGCCAGAAAAAAAACAAAAAACATTATTAACCTTTTGGCAAAGATCTCTCTATAAAACTTACATTATTTTAAAATACCCAGTATTATAAATGAGACCATATTAAAACATGCTATTCTGGAGTCTGAGTTTTCATTCAATACTATTTCAGTGACAAATTTCCAGAGTTATAAACAATGATCTAAATAATCTTTAATGACAGTTGCATATAAGTCATTTGTATATGTGTGCTACACTTTATGTAACCCATCTTTTATTGAAGGGCAGATAGGCTGTTTCCAATGTTTTAATATCATAAATCTCATAAAGTACATCGTTACCATCTTATTTAAACACTTGATAATTTAATTCAACTTGACTTAAAAGAAAACACTAACTCTGTATAGGATAACATGCTGGGCACACTCAGGGAATCTATACGAATAAAAGGGTAATATGCTAATTAGACCGGATAGACCGGATGTCTTCCTGAAGTCCTCTGGATGAAGCTGCAGCAGCTGCGAGGGCCGGCGGCATGGGAGAGGCGGCGACAGGGGCTGGTCCAGCTCCGCGGCCCCTTTTGCAGAGGCCGCGTGGGAGAGGGGACTGCGCGGTGCTGGTCCCAGTGCTGCCCCTTCCACAGAGGCAGCCACAGAGGCAGCAGCGTTGGCCTGGTCCCCTTGCCATGCCTCTGCAGAGGCTGGACTGGGTGTGATCTGCTATGCCTCAACCTCCCAAGCCCCTCCCCAGCCCGCCTGGTCCCAGATCTCCCCCTATCCACCAGTGGGCGGGGTGGGGCCAGCACTAAGGAGCGAGGGCCGAGGGCAGGCAGGGAGGGCGGGCAGGCCTGGGGGCCAACAGTGGCAGCAGCAGTGGGGTGATGGGGGTGGTGTCTTCACCTGTTTGGCCCGGTTGCCTCTTACCGAAGGAGGCCAGACTTCGGCTTAGGCCCGCTCCCCATGGCTCATTTTTATAATGAGCGGGCCTAAGCCATCAGTAGGATATCACCTGAAGGCTCCCAGACTGTGAGAGGGGACAAGCCAGGCTGAAGGACCCCACCTCAACCCCCCAGTGCATGAATTTCCGTGCACCAGGCCTCTAATGTTTAGAACAAACTCCTAAACAAATTGCTGGGTAAAAGTGTGTTGTTTAAATTTTTGATACATATTGCCAACTTTAATACATATTGCCTTTTTTATTTGTTAAACAATTCTTTATTGACATATTGCCTTCTTAGAAAGGTCGTACCAATTGTCATTCCAGCCAAAAGTGAACAAGAATGTCCTTTTGCCCATATTCTTGTCAATTGCTCCAAAATTTGCCAATCTGGAAGGATAAAATTAATACTGATAAAATAATCAACACATTTTCTATTTTCTATTTTCAAATAAAACAAGCTAAATCAGCCTCAGAATGGTTTACGTATTATAATAAATCCAAATGCCAAAGACGTCTACTGCTTCCTTTCATTAGCATGAATAATCGAGAGTGGCCAACCAGGTCAGGTCACGAGAATTGAAATCATGTGAAGTCAAGTCCAAGCCTGCTCCCTTACTAGTCTTAGCAGAGGGACCATTTGGGAGCACTGTGAACACAGACATCTCGATCGCAAGCGGAAGACAGCACTGGACAGCCGGCCGGCTGGCAGACCTGCCCCTGCCTGTGAGCATGGCCTCTCCTAACTGCTTACTGGGGCCTGCTTTGGGCCTGTCAGTCAGACTAAGGCTTATTATGTTTTGAAGCTCATTTTCTGCCATGAAATCCTTTGTGCCCCAGAACTGTAGCTCCATTTTTCTGACCTTGGTCTGCTAACCTGACACTAATTCCTGATAACTTCTTGTTTTTGATTAGTTGTTCTTTAATCTGGACTCTAATCTACGACTAACCCAACCACACACACACACACACACACACACACACACACACACACGTGCGCGCACACACACACACACACACGCACACACACGCACGCACACGCACACACGCCATGTGCCTATTCCTCTGCAGCTGAGGTCCACCCTTTCATTTTACATGCCCTGAAGAGGGAGTGGTTATAAAGCCTCTGGAAATGGTTTTCTTGAGGATTTCTAGCCATCATCACAAAGACAATCATTATCCCCACTTTGTTAATTTACTCAACAGCATTTACTATAGCTGAATGTTTGAGTATGTGGGTTCACAGAGATAATTTAATTCTTATAAGAAAACACTCGCATTGTATAGGATAACATGCTAGGCCTTGAAGAGACAGCTCCTACACACTCAGGGAATGTGACAGAGCAATGGTCCCCAATGATGTCCATGTCCTAAGAAACCTGCGGATATATTACTTACAGAAGAAAAGAGACATCGCAGATGTGATTAAATTACGGATCTTGAAATGCAAAGATTTTCCTGGATTATCTGTGAGGACCCAATGCAATCATAAGGATCCTTATAAGAGAGAGGCAGGAGGGCCAACGTATGAGAAATAGGTGGTACAGAAGAAGTCAGAGAGAAAGAGAGATCTAGATTCAAAGATGCTACGCTACTGGCTTTGAGGATGAAGAGGCCAGAAGCTAAGGAAGGCAGAAGCCTGACTAGGTGAGGGAACGAATCTGCACCTAAATGGAATGCCACGGACTTTTGACCTCCAGAACTGCAAAATAACTAACCTGCTTTGTTTTAGCTCACTCAGTCTGTGGTGATTCGTTACAGCAACAGTAGAAAACTAACAGGCAGTTTACAAGCCTGGTCAGAGAGAGAAAAGATGGCACCAGCAACTTTGGTATCATTCAGAAAGTGATGAGTATAAAATATAAATACAAACATAATGCTTGATAAAGTGAGTACTTCTAGCTGGAGAGATTAGGGAAGTCTCCGGGAGGACAGCAGTTCTGCTGGGCCTGAAGGACCGGTATGATTGTAAGAGGGAGATACAGGACCCAGCAGGAGCAAAAGCATCGAGCTGGAAGGTACAGAATCAAAAAGCAGGCCTAGGCCCTTCTAACCAGCCATTTTCTCAGAAACAGAAATGACTTGATTCAAATTTCATACATCCTACTTAGGAAAATAATAGGTACCTAAGTTTGTAAAAAAAAAAAAAAAAAAAAAAAAAAAGAAAAGAAAAGAAAAAGAAAAAAAAAAAAGAAAGGAAAAAAGAACTTGTACCAGTAATAACAGTCAACAGTTGTATTATATGTGATAAGTTATCCTAAGAGTTTAAATACAGACTACAGATTTTGAGCAAGAATCCGCTCTCTGCAGAGACCATGTCATAGCCAAGGGTGAGCCTGGCTCATCTTCAGACAGGCAAGCTTGATAGAGATGAACAGGGAACTGCCACGGATCAATCAAAGACATGGAAAGGCAATTCTTTAAAAGGCAACTATTAATATTTATAAACTAGACATTTCCTACGACTTCACAGGCAAGCTACACCCAATGATGAAATCCAACTGAACATGCGTAGCAGAATGAGGATCTCAGGGCTCAGATCAATGCTGTGAAGGACATTAGAATCCAGTCTCTTTTTTTTGGGAGGGTGGGGGGGGGTTGGATCACTTTATACAAAGTCAGAGCCCCTGATCTTAAGTGATCACAAATGGCTCTAATTTAGCCTAGGTTTGATCTGAGGCGATTACCTGATAAAATACACTTTTAAGGCCCCCAGTTTTGCAAGTTGGAGAGCAAAGAATGGGATCGTCCAGATTGCTGAAACCCATTACCAGGTCACATGGATCATCCTCAGGGCATTACTTATGAAGGCAATGTCTTTCCAAGATGGCACCTGTACTCAAGTGCCTGGGTAATACTTGTCATCTTCTTTATCTTCTGGTAAGATGGACTCCTTTTTGTCCTGCTCACATTCATTCCATACAAATACACTGGAACAGCTGGTCTCCACAGGCCTGCTCCTGGGAGAGTGGCCTGCAGCTTCCCCAGAAGGGTCCGCATCTACACCAGAGGCCCTTGAATCCCAGGCTGGTGCTGCATGCTTTGCAGGCCAACGTTCTTCATGGGGAGAACTAGGCAGTTTGCAAGCGTCCTCATTTCTCTTACTCTCCGTCTTCCTGTCAAAGCCCATGTAAGTAACCTCAGACTGGCTGCACTCAAAAGGGACTTTCTGAGCCATTCTCTCTTTTCCCAAATGTTTATCATGAAGTGGAAGCTGTCTGTTTTGTCTTTCATCATCTTCCACGGGAATACTGGGCACGTTATCCAAGAACAGGGGAGACGGACACCTGAAAGACCGGAGCGAAGTGGGAGGATCTTCAGCAAAGTATAAGCCGGCTTGGGTGCTTTCGAGAGTAGTCAGGACCTAATTAACCAAGAAGCAAGCAAACATCCAGTTAAGCTTTGCCTACCTCTCCTTTCTACCCTTTTCCTGTCTACCTGTGAAGGACTGTGTTTTTGTTTTTACGAATCAGTTCTACTAGAGAATTTTGAATGAGAAGGTATTAAAGATTAGCTAAACCCTTCATTTTAATGAGTAAATTAAGTGACTTGAAGCAAAGGATAAAAGAAACTGCATTGAACTGAATATCAAGAGACCTGACCTTAGGCCTAGATTTGCTACCACTACTTTTTGACCTGGGGTCAATCTCTTATCATTTTTTAAAAATATGTTTTTATTGATTTTAGAGGGCAACGAACTAATTTATAAGTTGGTAATTTTAGATGGCCCGAAATGATGCTATAAATATCCAAATGGCTCTTGGCAAAAAAAAAAAAAAAAAAAAAAAAGGTTCCCCACCCCTGCTCTATCACCTGGAACCTCCTATTACAACCCTGCAGCTTTTCCTTCCCACCATCCCACAGAAGCAGGACTACCTGTGGTCTCAGCCACATGGAATCCAGCCCTCTGAGCCTTTGCAGGTGTGTATTCTCTCTCTGGAATGTCCGTCCATCCTACGGCTGCCTATATCCACCCTGCTCTGTAGGGCCTCCCTCCACTGGCCCCTCCATCAAGAAGCTTCCTTGTCTTCCATCGGCTAGAATGTACTAACTCCATGCTCCCATCAACCAGGTTCCTTATCTTTCTGTCCTGAATCTCGTGTTTCCTGAGGTCACTCTCCCTGTGGGCAGTGGGCGTGTGGGCAGCAACTGTATCTTGATCGCTGCAGTATCCCCAGCACCCAGCACAACATCTGGCCCTTGCAAAGTAGGCACTAAATAAATATTTGTTTATTGTAAACAAATAAATGAGTGGATGATTAAATAGATGGACAGAAGAATAAAAAACCAATAAAGGGAATACACACTGCATTTTTAATGGGCAGATCTCTTAATGAAGGTTGAATAAAACATTATCTCCAAATTTCTATGTCTCTTCCTTAAAATGTTTGTGGTGCCCTGGTTCCACCCAAGAATGACATGTATTAGAGTACCTGATGATGCAACATCTCGACCTAGAAAAACTATCTATTAGATTAGAATTCTATTTGGGGGGCTGGATTTGTCTCAGTAAAGAATTTACTTAGATACACATTTATCCAGTTTTCCATTGTCCTACAGATTCAGTTTTTAATAAAACTGTGTGCATACGTACTTCATCCATTGATGGTCTTAATTTTGCCCGTGTTGCAGCACACTGGCCCGCCAAAGAGAAGAGCTTGGCAGAAAAATTCCGAGGGCAGGGAAACACTTTCTTATCTAGAAATGGGACACATGAATCGAGGCCTCTCTTCTCCATCAGCTCCATCAGGAGATCCCTCTGGGAGGAGGAGAAGACAACCTCATTTAGGACCCTATCAGAGAGATGCCCCCGGTGCAAAGAGGAGGACAAGCCTTACCAGCTGAATGTGCTTGGGGTCATCCAGCACCACTTTACAACCAGTCAGAACTTCCATTATCACCTACAAAGGACACAGAAAGTCAGTTACGTATATTAACTACATCTACATCTTACTGGCGGCTAGTAACCATAGCAATGAATATAGTTCATTCCAATGAATGAGTTTATATTTTATTACTGATCAATTACCCAAAATTAATGGATAACACAATGAGTAACAGGAGATCATTTGTTGCATGACATTGCTTAATTAAAATCATACAGGTTTCAAATGTCCCATTCAATTGAGAGCATTGTCGGTACTTACAATGCCAAAGCTGTAGACATCTGTTTTAGTGGACAGCTTGCCCTGCCTGATGTACTCTTCCGGCATGTACCACAGATGGTTACTGCCGCCACTGCTCATGCTTATGGTGGCGCTCTGGGGCTCGAGGTGGGGTCGGAAGTGTGCCATGGCGAAATCAGTGAGTTTGGGTTGAAACTCATCATCCAAAAGTATGTTGGCACTAAAATGATGAGCAAGGACAAACAAGACAAAAACATCATGAAGACATTTTGGTGAAAAACAACGTGACGAGTTCACCTTTGTGTCTTATTAATTACAAATATGGACAAAATAGAGCCATCCATAATTTTCCATGAACTGTAGGACATATTCTCACTTCTCTTAATGTGAGAATGTGTCCTAAATCCAAGAGTTCTATAGACCCAAAACCCAAATCCTGACCTAGGAAGCGTGGGCATTTTGAATTTACAGCTGCCTACGTGGAATTGGTGGATAAAGCTGATAGTTCGTCAATAGGAGGCACTAATGTGAACCAAAGCAGCCTTCCTTGTGCTCTTCTTGCACATGATGGGAACCTGACCTGGGTCTTTCTCAGCCAATAACTGTCAGCTCTGTGCACGGAGCTCTGCTGGAATGCTCTGCCTACAGCCCTCACCTGCTGCGAGGTTTTGAGAAATCTTCAGTGGCCCTGCTTTAAGGACAACCCTACTCCACAGTCCCATCCCCATGGCTTCTTTGTCTTTGAGTCTTGTTTAAAATACAACCATCTAAAGAGGCAAAGGCAGTCTTGGAGTCCATTTTAGCTGTTAGTCACATGAAAACCTTAATAGTCACTTCACATCTCGGCTGGGCGTAAGTGTGAGCTTGTTTGACCTTGGAAGGACTGCTGTAGGAGGGGCGGGAAAAGATAAGCTGAGGGGGAGCCCCATTTCCCATGGCCCACCTGGCTCTGTAGCCCCTGGCAGGTCACTTCACCCCAGAAATCTCAGCAGCATCTTCCCTCACAAGCGAAAAGAGGAAAACAACAGAACTCACAGACACAGACACGGCCTACTGCTGGGCATGCTCAGTGAACGCTGGCTTAGGTGGGGGTTAGTAATTCCTCACAAGAGAGCAGATGGCCATTGAGGAAAGAGGGAGGTGTGAGCTAAGAGAAAGTTATCTGCTTTTCAACTTTGGTAAGGGCTTGTTTTTGTGTCCTGAAACCAAAGCTAGTATGAGACCCCTGCCCATCTCAACGCCAGGCGGGACCTTCGGAGTGCCACACACCCCTGTTCAATGTGGAGAATAGCTTCAGGAAAAACACAGGAGATTATTCATTCTCAGCAAGTGCTGGCTCTCACGAAAGCTCCTGAGTCCCTGCTGCCCCTGGACCAGCAGGCTGACAGCAGGTTACTCCACACGCCCCAACTGCAGGCACTGCTGTGATTCGAATATTCAGTCTTGGCTCTGTTTCAAGGATGTGAAATGGAGGCCTCGAGGATTCTAATCCAGTCTTTGTCTAGGACAAATGATGGGGCTCCCTGAGATCGGAAAGACACGCCTTGAACTTTATGTCACTCTCCCTCCCCTGAAGGTGGCAGGAGAACCGTAAATCCCAGAGAACCCACCTTCTGCATAAGCCCTGGAGCCCCTACCTGTGTGCGGTCCTTTCACTAATGAGGAGAAAGTCAGGGAGGGACTTGTATCTGGGAGGCGGCTTATCTCAGAAGCACAGTCCTCATTTCTCTCCCAGCCTTGTCTTTTCTCTCCTGACAGCAGCTTCTCAGACCAGCCTGCGTCTCACACACCTAGGTTGCCCCTCACCCATCTTTGGGTTTCTCATTTGGAAAAGAGCATTCACTATCCCGACATGCTTCTGAAGATGAGGAATATACTAGAACCAGATTCTACCTTCTCTCCATCTCTTGGTAAGAACAGACATTTAGTTCATGACTACTTCTTTCTCTGGTGTACACTGCACTCTTTCAGATCAAGGTCAGGGCTTCCTGGGATGCTCTGATCAACTCTGAGTGCCAGGAGTGAGGTGTGCAGAGAAGTTCGTTAGCTCTCATCACCAGGACCAGCCTTCCACCCCTCCAGCCTCTGCTGCACTCAGGGCCCGGCCCTGCTCTGCGGCTGCCCCTCTTCATCACAGCCCAGGAGGAGGCAGCAGAGCTCTGAACCCCAGATTTTCCTTGTCAAACTGCTAGCCCTCTTCTTCCTCCACCAGCTCTGGAGAAGGTTCAAAGCGTAACTCAGAATGCCAGAGCCAAGAGAATGCAAAAAGCTAAATCTGTGGATCACTCAGACTCCCAAAGAATAGTTCTTTCCTAGGTACAAAAAGAGATAAAAAAAAGCAGTAACAACAAAAACCCCCGTAATCTAATCTGTTTCTTTGACCCTCGGCAGAACTGGTGGGAAGCTTCCCGAAGCTGGGGAAGTAGTTCTGTAAGAGGCGGCCTGCGAAACCGCCATGCGTTACCCGGCAAAACCCACGGGGGTTCGGGGCAGTGAGAGGCCATCAATAAGAATGCGTGATTGTCCCGGGGCACCGTGTTTACACGTTGAATGATTACATTTGGTGAAAAGACCAGTTGTGTACCAGCAGACCTTAGTGTATACCATAAATTTCGAGCCCAGTGATTTACTCTGTTCTAAATAAAGGTCAATGATAGCCGAGAAAGAAGGATGTTCTGTTTCAGAAAAGTGGGAATTGCAAAAGGCCCGTCAACAATCAATCCTGCCTAATTCTTTCCCCTGCTTCTACCTCAAATAGAACGCTCCAACATAAAGTGTCTTCAACTACCACGTAGGTCAACTGAATGCATTTATCCTATCGGGGTAAACACAGACTAAAAAAGTAAAGCAGCATAAATAACTGAACGCATGTAACAATATGGTGCACTAAAAGGGCAGCTTGCTAGCTGTTGTGGCTACAGGTGAGAAACACTCAATGCCCCCCACACTTAATTTGGTGTCTCTGCAACCTATTTCTTCTATCCTTTCCCACAAAACCACTTTCTGTAACAGAGAGTCCTCTAGATCAGTGTTTCCCAAACTTTTGACACATGTGTACCCCTTCTATAATTTTCGTAACACTGAGTACCCCTCGTACTCATGAGAACATAGAATTAGGTGCAGCTAAGCACGGTGCAGTGCATATCCCCACCAAATTCTGGTGCAACGCGTACCCCCACCAAACTCTTCCCATACCCTTGGGGGTACGCATACCACACTTTGGGAAACACTGCTCTAGAGAATTCTTAGGATCAGTGGTAAGGTCACAAAGGAGATGGGGAAAAGCCTACACAGATGGTGACTTATATCCTCACTCTGGGAATATTATTTCATCTCCCTCTTGCTAAGAGTCTTTACAACAATTCTTTTTTGGTGGGAACTGCATCCCTCAACGGCCACAAGAATTGCTTTCTCTGCTCACCAGTCTGTCTCCTGATTCAGGAGAAGCCCGTGGGCCTTAAATATAAAGCAGGATGATACACCTAGCTTACAATGCAGGATGTGAACGTGAGTGCAAATACCATGTTTGGCATGTACGTGCATTATTGGTTTTTAAAGATACATTTATTTTTATAGGATTTTATGGGGCATTATTGGCGCCCAGTAGTCCAGTCTCTGAGTGCCTGGCAACTCTCAGGAAAAGTCCAGACTCCACCCAATAGGTCCCAGAGATAAAGAAGACCCATGTGACCTCTGGTTAACAGCCTGAGGTGACAGGACATCTTGCTGCCTGTGTTACTGCTGTTGCCACACCAAGATACCCCTCATCAGATGAGGCAAGACCCAGTCTCCCCGGGACCTGCAGGTGACTGGGAGGGGTGCACACAGCCCTCCCTGCTGCACTGCATCTGGCCAAAACGATGCGAACAGAAACCCTTACTCCCCACTGGGATGATGCAGCTGTTTCTTTCCCAGTGAAGCCTGGCAGGACTCAGAGATAGCACTGGAGCTCGGTTTTGCTTTGACAGGTGCCTTATGAGTCCTACACTCTGTGTGAAGGCCCAGTCAATGCAGGGAATTCCTCCTGTTGGTGTGAAATTGCATCTCCAACCGAACTAGCACAATTCCCCTGAGCCTCCGTTTCCCTGTGGGTAAACAGGTCTGATAATGCTTCACTCACAGCATCGTTACAAGGATTAAGTGAGAAAACACAAGCAGAGTGCCTGATATTCAGAGAAGGAATGGAAATGTGCTTTAAAGGATGTGAGTTGGCTATTTTCCCTTCTACATACACCACCTGACCTTAAAGTCCCAGGGAACTTGGTTGGGTATCTCTAAAAGTTCAAGGACAGCAATTTGAAATAACAAAGGTACAGAGGTTAGAGAATAATCCTGGACTCTGAGGACCTTGGGTTAGCTAGTTTCAAGGCATCGACTATTCAGAATAGTTCCAAAGAAGTTCTGGAAGAACCTACTAAATGAACATTTCCAGAATTTTAAGACCATGGAAAGATAAAATATAAAATTAGAGGCCTAGTGCACCAAATTTGTGCAGGGGGTGGGGGTGGGGAGGACAGGATAGAGGGTCTCATCAGAGGATCTAGGGCCTAAACGGCAGACATCCCTCTTACAACCCAGGGCGCTGCATGTACCAGTGAGCATACTTTTCATACAGGTGAAAGGCATCTTGCTGTTGTATGGGCAGCTACATGTTTTTTGCCCTGATTATAAAAAGTAGTGCATAACATGATTCTTCTGAGGCAGTAGTATCATTTTTCCCATCTTATGGGTGGAAAAACTGAAGCAAAGAGAAGTGAATAATTGGCTTTGTCACACAGTTATAAGTGTCAGAATCAGGGCTGACCACAAAATGTGCAAGCCAGAGTCCACGCATGTCATCGCTGCATCATCCTGTTTTTTCATGTTAGAGTATCCTTGCCAGGTTTTAATTTTTAAATCTAGGAGACTGTTCCCAATATATAGGTTAGGGTCCCTAGGCCTGGCTGGCAATCAGGGCAATCTGTGGGGAACCAGCGGGTGGGGCAATGGGGGGGGGTGCCCTGCTGGCACCCGAGTTGGCTGGCAGCCAGGTACTACCCGCTGGCTGGCTCCACCCCCTGATCTCAACTGCAGCCCGGTAGCCTCCCTCTCAGGGAGCATCTGCCCCCTGGTTGTCAGTGTATGTCATAGCGTCCAGTCCTTCCACTGATCTTTCCACTGTTTGGTCAATTTGCATATTAGGGTTTTATTATATAGGACTGTCTAGTACATATGTGTGCA